CTCTCTCTCTCTCTCTCTCTCTCTCTCTCTCTCTCTCTCTCTCTCTCTCTCTCTCTCTCTCTCGAGCACTCCTGGATGGACACCATGCTGGAGGTCATCAATGATGCTGACGGAGAAAAATATGAGGGTTTTTTGTGGCGGCCTGAGGCAGCAGGCAGGCTCGGGTCAGCCCTCTACCTTGCCCAAACAGAACTATTCATTTCATTGCCCTTGTACCAGCATGAATTCAGCACTGAACATTTGTTCTGTGTCTTTTTCGGAGTCTCTCACCTTTCTTTGTACCCCAGGTATGTGGCACATTTGAACTGCATCTAACCAAGACTGTTCTCTCTCACCTTAACACACATTTAACTGTCATTCTCCTGGGACGGTTATCGCTACAGTTGTACAAGTCTGTACTCCAGTTCTTTCTCTTCCAGTGTTCAAGAAGAATAAAATTCCTCTTGTTAAATGTCCCACACATCCTCCATTTTTAACAATACCCTACTTCCTGAAAGATATTTTCTGGTTTTTAAATCCAAACTCGTATGACAATCTTTCCAATTAACCAAGCTGATGCCGCAGTACCGACTTGCGAATCTGACCAGCGATTGGACTCGGGTGCACAATGCTTAATTTAATTTGTGTATTAACTGCATTTTTTCCTACAAAAAGAAAAGCTGTAAACAGCTTCCATTCCTTCTCAATCGCTTGATCAAGGTATCTGTTCTCCAAAGTGTTTCAAGAGCCAGCAGCTTTGGGGCAGACAGCTTTGAAGCCCCTGGAAATACAACGGCAACACTGAGAAAAGCTCCACTTTAGCTCTCCGTGTCCGCCCCTCGCCGCTTTTCTGGCAGCTCGCACAAACCCTCTCCTCCAACATGCTTTCCAAAAATAAGGACAGACGATCTCAGGATTCTTTAATGAACTGTCAAGCGCCTCAGCTCCAGGGTGTATACAAAGATAGGCACCTCAGCAGAGCTCAAACTTACTGTACAGAATAGAGTAAAAAAGAAACCTGCATAAAAAAAGGCTTTCACCCTAGTATTTCCAACTCGGTGTTAGGTGCTCTTTGGTTTATGGCAAAGTAAGCGATATAAAGTGTTGATTGCTGAAATGTTCATCTGCTTGTGCTTTTATATCGTTGACCTTTATAGTATTTTGCACAATAGAAAATCTGAGGTGACACGATTCACACAACGTCCTCGAGGGACCCACTTCACAACTGTCATTTTGCACAGACAGTCCTCAATGACGCAGATCTGTATGCGCAAGAAAAAAGGCCAGTGACCTATTTCAGTTTTTGACTAGACATTATTCAGCAGTATTTATAAGGTTTTATTCAAAATCCCTGTTCTTCACCAGAAGTCCTTTTATGTACTGTAAAAAAAAGATTTTTCTAAGTTTTCTAATTTCTGAGAGAAATTGTTTCAAAGGAAATCCATCACAATTCTTTTTTCAGTGTGGAAAAGCAATTGTTGGTACAGAATTTGCTATTATTTTAAAATAATAATAATAATAATAATAAATAGATCAAGGGCAATTGTACAATTGCTATTTGATTGAAATATCCACACATTATCAATATGAAGAACAATATGCTCACTTAGCATAAGTCCTTGCTTGCGTCAAGTTATGTACACAATTGTTTTTGAGCCAGTCACCTCAGCTATAAAATATCATGTGACTAATCACTATGAAAACACAAAAATTATGTCCTGAAAATTTTAATTGGCTAATGGCTCTACAAGAATGTGCAAAGTATTAAAATCTTCACTAGCCTTTCCTTTGAGGTCAACAGCAGCAGACAGACAAAACTAACAATTCAAAAAATTTATTTCAAAATCTTAAGAGCCCCTAAAAAATGTGTCTCTGGTAAAACGTCTACTTTAACATATAATTAAATATTAGCAATACATTAATATATTACTAATACTTGAAATAAAATAAATAAATGTAAATATAAATCAGAATACATGGCTTCCGTTGAATGGTTACCAATGGAAAACAACATTTTTGTTCTGCAGAATGATGTAGTTTCAGCATCCACCAGAAGACTAACTAACCCATGCTAACCAGCCAAACCTCTTGGTTACGATGAGCTGTCATGTGTTCTGGTCACTGTGTGTTTCCAAGCATTGGTGTGCCACTTGATTAACAACAATATGATAAATGGTATGCACAATCTAATATATCTACCATCTGGTTTTAATGGACATAATTCTCAAAATTCTTCACTTCAAAGAAAAAGAAACCGCAAAGACTTGAAATAAAGCTATTGTAAGAAAAGGTGTTGGTTAAAGACAGGAGCTTGCTTCAACCTGAAGGCTGAACATGCCTGCACATACTCACACACATCCACACAAAAGATGTTGCCACACAAGAACGCAATGTACAATTACTTTGTGATACAATACCCACACATTAGCATAATAAAGAACATTACGCCAGTTTAGCACAACTCTAATGATAGACCGCTGAAAATAGAGCCTCTCTCAGCTGAGGTACGAGGAAGTGAAACTGTGTGTGAACTTGCAGGCAAGCAGACAATCATTCACGAAGCATGATTC